CACCCAGGCGCCCGCGGGGGATGAAATTAAAAAAGAGGGCCGCGCATGGTATGGGTACGTACTCATAAGGATTCAGCCTTCTAGTTTTTCTGGTTCTCGAGTTGAAAGTGGGTGACGAAAAGTGTCGAACACACAGATACACACACACACACACACACAGCTAGTTCCCAATATGCGTTTTTGCAATTTGCATATATGCAAAAACGCATAAAAAACCATTCATGCAGTTAGCCCAGTTCAGGTTTTGTACAAAAACGCATGATTGTACCGGCTTGTCTGGTGCGTTCCAGCCTGGGTTAACACTAGTTCTATTTACCTAAATTTTAGAAACTCATGTTGTCTAAAACGCTACGCGTATTTGTTTGCATGTTTGTTAGAGAGTTTCAATCTTCTCAGTCAAACTTGCTGGAAAATTGGGCTTTGTTTTTGGTCCTGCAATAGGTGTGCTTACTCGGAGTCAACTATTTGGCTTCAATTTTCTGGATCCTTGGTTGAGGCTTAAAGTAAATAGGTGGAAAACTTGCGTATTTTATCAGGCCTGTTTGCTTAATACAAAGTACGAACAACAACAATAGCAGCAGGAGTGGCAGTAGAAACATGAGTGTGTACCTAGAAGGAAATAGTAGCGTTGTGGCGATGACGGATGCTGGACGGATCTATCTCCCAGAACAATAACAGATGAGAACGAGAAAGGATGCGCCAGCTGATATAACACATACTTAATCACAGCAGGTTGAACGGAAGGATGACACTGAGAAACCGGGATTGACATTGTTAGGAGGCCTACTTTCCGTTTCGCTTGAGAAAAGCACCTCTCCTTCTAGCAAATGAACATCCTTTCACACGTGCTCCACTGTTGTTCCAGTGGGAAAATCCAGTTTTCTTGCTCACTCTCGGCGACGTCATCCTACCAGTAGAATGCGTTTTCTTTATCTTTTTGTATTGAACTTGACGTTACCGCAAGAAATCATTAATTTTTGCACATGTCTTCAGTGAATACCAATCGTTTTGATTGGTTTTCTCACAAAACTGATTTCTTAAATCTGGCCCTCTATTTTTTTTTACTTTTTTACTCCTACGTCCAGTCTCATTCCTCTCGTGCATTCCTTTATCTTAATTTTTCAAATAATTTCAACTGTTTTACACTTTAACTGTTCCACTCAGCCTGAATATTGTTCTTTTTTTATCTCCAATGACATAATCCCGATGACCTGCCGTCGCTGGTTTTGCGAACATTTGCTGTCAACGAATCGCTCATCTGACCTCCATTATTTCCCTTTTTTTTAAAAGAAAATCCCAACTCAGGCACTCCATCATGCTACTCGATTGACAGCACATAAGGCATTGTTGAGATAGAGCGGTATACAAATCCTGGAAGTTCTAAGCATTTCGAGCAGCCAGTGCGCCGCATTTTGTCTGGCTAAGCTTAAACGGCACGACCAACGCCAATTTGAACCAACAGTCGGCAGTGCAGTAAAGATGTGGAGCAGTTATGCATGAAAAAGCGCAAAAGTCTGCTATATAACGCATTATCATGAATCCAGCTAGTGATGTGCTAGGCTTGCCGGTTGATTGTGGTTTTTCATGATTCCATCTTATAGAAAGTTTGCTTGTACTGATCAGTCATGACTGTTATTTTACAACTGGGACATTTGGGTGCCTGCACGGAGGACTCATGCCTTATGCTTGAACGCCTGCATATAAGCAGCAAACACCTTCGAAAAATACTGTTTCCCGCTCGGTTTAGTTACCGAATTGTCACAAATTGCGCCAACAGTTACAAATTTTCGCTTACGCGAAAGCAAGACTAGGCGTGCTTTAAAACTGAATTTGAAATACTTTGGTCTCACAGTGGCACAGAATATCCTAGTCAAGCTTAAGCTAGCTAGCGTGACTGTTGATGAAATAGCTCATCGTCACAAATATTCTGTCTGTGTGTATGTTTGTGTGTTTTGTCTGCCCGGGTATTTCAGCTCGGCAACCAAGCAAGTTCCAGTGCCATGATTTTGCTAGTAGATTCCTCGGCCAAGTGCCATCTCAGAATCGCAGTACCAACCCTCGAGCAAGTCTGGGCTCCACGTACGAGGGGTGAAAGTTATGGTGGGAAAATTGATAACTCGGGAACGAGAAAAGATGGAAAGCTGAAATTTTGAGGTTATGTTTCTCCTTCACATATAATTCGAAGATTTCAAATTCAGCCTCCAAGTGTGTGTGGTTCCCGCGTACAGCCCCATGAAATTTTTGGCTAGAAAATGGCTAACTTGGGAACTAACAAAGCTGGAAAGCTGAAATTTTCAGGGGATGTTCCCAGCCCATGTACGACTAAAATTTATCAAATTCAGCCCAAGACATGCGCTGTTTTCACGTACGGTCCCATGAAACTTTTTTGGTAGGGAAATGGCTAACTGGAAAATTGAGATTTTAGGAGAATACTCCCTATTCCAAAACAGATTAAATATATCAAATTCAGCCTCCATGTATGCGTGGTTATCGTGAACGGGCACTTAAATTTTTGGCGGAAAATATCATTGAACAACTGAGTCCTTTTAAAATAAAAACGACCGCTAAACGGAAGTTGTTTATTTTCTTTTATGATTTACGGTACTAAGCGCACAAGGTAGGTGTGAAGAAACAAACTTTCATGCAGTTAACCTAATTACTTCAAGTTTGGTGCAAAAATGTATGGTCACACCCGCTCGCCTGGTGCGTTCTAGCCTGCGTTTGAAAATGACCCAGCTGTTCAGTGAGTAATCTTCCCGCCAGAAATTTAAGTCCCCACACGCGAGAACCACACGTGCCTGGAGGCTGAATTTGAAATCTTTGAGCTGTGTTTGGATGGAGAATATTCTCCTGAAACCTCAGCTTTCCAGCCCTTCTGATTCCCGGGTTAGCAGTTTTCCCGCAAAACATGAAGGCATACCTGGGGCTGGGTTTGAAATCTTTAAGATGTACATAGGCTGGAAACACCCCTTTAAAGTCCCAGCCTCCCAGCTTTTCTGGTTCCCGAGTTAGCCATTTTCTTGCCAAAAAATTTCACGAGGCCGTGGGCGAGAACTACGCGTGCCTGGGAGATAAATTTGATAAATTTAAGTTGTGCATCGGCAGAGAGTTGTCCCCTTAAAATTTCGGCCTCTCAGCTTTTCCGGTTCTTGAGCTAACCACTTTCCCGCTAAAAGAGTTCACGGGGCCGTACGTGAAAACCACTCACGCTTGGGGGTTGAATTTGGAATCATTGAGTTCAATGTGGACAGGGAACATGATTTCAAAATTACAATTTTCTAACTTTTTCTGTTCCCGAGTAAGTGAATTTTTCTGCCAAAAATTTTCACGAAGCCGTATATGAGAACTAGCACACTTAAGCGCTGATATACACGGGCTGGGAACCATCCCTTAAATTTGCAGCCTCCAGATTTCCTGGTTCCCAAATTGTTAATTTTTCCGCCAAGAAGCTTCACGAGATCGTATGTGGGAACCATGCATAACTTTTGAAATCTATAACTTCTATGTGGGTGGAGAAGATAATTCCAAAATTTCAGCTTTTTGCCTTTTCTGGTTCCTGAGTTAGCAATTTTCTCGCAGAAATTTCCACGCACTCGTACGCGGGGCGTAGACGTGCATGAGGATTGATACAGCGGTTCTGAGATGACACTTGACGGGGGAACTCACTAGCAAAATTTTGGTTCCAAAGCTTGCTTGATTGCCGAGTTGAAACACCCGGAAAGACGAACACACACTTATACCAGGTCGTCCCAATATGCGTTTTGTACTGACATATATGAAAAAACGCATCAAAGTAATTATTATCAAGGCAGTGATCAGCAATGATTATCAGAGATTATCAAACAATGATTAAATGTAACCCAAAGCTAGAAAGCACCAGGTCAGTCAATGCGAGAATGCGCTTTGGCTCAGCTTTTTACACAGCTTTTACTCGGAAACAAGTGCATTTTGCAGCGAACGACCGCCCTCATCTTCTTCCAACATTGAGTTCCAGTTCTTCCTTGGAAAGTGATAATGTTACTAGAGCGGCCATTCGTCAAAAAATCTAAATATGTAAACAAACTGAATGTTGGGAGAGGATGAGAGCGGTCGTTCGCTGCAAAATGCACTCGTTTCTGAGTATGCTGTAATGACGAGTATTTCTCATATCAACCTACAGGGAATTTCACGTCCAAGTACAATTAAGATCACACATGGAAGTAAAATATCCCAGCGAATTATCAGCTTCGCACCTTATCTGGTAAACGAAATAACCAATTCGCTACAAATATTTTTGAACTGTCCTAAGTCGTAGCGCAAGTGCAAATCGGAACTTGTTTTAGGTATACGATTTCCCATGTGGACGGTAAATCTTCCGTCAAAATTTCAGCCACTGTTTTCCGACTGGCTTTCGAATTAGCGCAGTTCCAGATGCAAAATTTGAAGTGATCACATGCGCTGCACAAGTGTGCGGAGTGGCTGAATTTGAAATTTTTAACTCATTCAAACACATAGAATATCCCTGCAAAGTTTCAGTCTTCTTCTTACCTGGTTCCCAAAATTATTTTTCGCCAAGAAATTTTGCATTTTTTTCGGTAGCCCGCATGAGACATCTAGGCACGTATGAAAAAAGATCTTAAAATGGAAGGGTGACACACAGGATGAGAATACGGCCCCAAAATTTCAGTCTTCCAGCTTTCTAGGCTACCGAGTTGAAAATAGGTAAACTTTGTGTGTGTTGCATTCGCTTCCGGACAAACACAAACATAAACACACTGACAACCTCTCGACAATATGCGTTTCTCGCTCGGTGTAGTAGCGCTATAGCGCTGCACAACAAAAACGCATAAAAATTTATTTGTAAATGCTATGTTAATTATGTCAATTGGAAAAAATAAATGATAATCAATGCACATGCAACTTATTTCAAAGAACTTTTTAATGAATGTCATCTTTCATTGATCGCAGGAAAATTTCAGTAAATCTATAAGCATAATTAACGAATCAATGTTTGAGATACAATGTTACTGATTCTGGTATCAGTAACTCTTTGGTTCTGCTCGGTGCGAGCATTTCTCACCGAGAACTCTGGTTTTCACTGCATGACGCGACATTCGATGCGGTTGAATAGGGCAGTTCATGGCGAACCGCAAAAAACTCTGCCGCCATTTGAATTTCATTTCGTTGATACAAAAGGACACGATACGAGCTATTACGAGCCGGGAAAAATCTATACCAGTGAGATTTTATCATTTGTTAACAGCTTTGACTAGTTTGTTCAGGGACATCAATTATGAAGTAAGAGGTGCCGATCAACTTCATAAACGATCGAGCGTTTTCTAGGGTACTTAATAGAAATACACTACACTGTGGAACAATCAGTCCACCTACAATTCGCTCATTACATATCGAAATTTAGCACTGGCACACCAGGGAGTGAAACTCGCTATAGGCTTGTTTCCAAAACAGTTGACAGCCTTGTTACTGGGCGACTGAGTTGACGTTCTGCTGTGGCATGGGATGTTTTGAGTGTTTTTGCCTACTGTAGAAGGCAATTGCATGAAGAGATGACTTTTGATTTTGATCATGATTTTTTTAGTTCGCTTAATTGGCTTTGTGCATTTTCGTGGATTTCTGCTACAAGCACGCCTGACGAATGAAAACGGTTTCCTGCTTGGCTCGCTGAAAGGTGGTCGATTCATAGAAAGCAAAAACTGGGAGACATTTGGAGTGCGGATGCAGAAATGCGACCGGCGATCATTAAGTTGGCAGGATTCTGTTACGCATTCCAATGACTCCCGCAAATTTATCGTGCAGGTCGAATGGACTGCTGACAGGGAGATCGGCGCTGTTCAGTTTTTGTAAGTTCCTTATGTAAATAATAATTGTTCAAACATTATGAGGACAGCAGGCCTGCGTAAAGCAAGCAAAATTCTCTACAGTAGCAAATGCGAATCTGGTTATCGTGTCGAGCAAAAAACATCTCCTGCTAACGAATATTGTAATTATGCGTTTTTCGCAGCTATGCAGTGCAGAAAACGTATATTAACAAGGGATTGTCTGTGTGTGTGCCTGTGTGTTTGTGTGTCCGTGTGTGCATCTGCCACGGTTTTTCATCTCAAGACCCACAAGCTCTACAGGGCTAAAAATTTGGGAACTTAATCTATATGCATGTACGGGCCCCAGTCCTCAAAATGGGCGCCATTACCAACGTGATACCCCCGTGCGGGTCCACCAAAATTTTTTTCGAGTAAATTCATAACTCGGGGATCTGAGAAGCTAGAAAGCTGAGGTCTTAGGGGGATGTTCTCCGTTCAAGTTTTTTTTTTGGTGTTAGTGAGCTCAAACCCAGCCCCAGAGTAAGCTTGGTACCCACATACGGGCCCGACAAAATTTTTTTCGGATAAGTTGATAACTTAAGTACCTGAGAAGCTAGAGAACTGTAATTTTAAGAGGATATACCCCGTCCACCTAAGTTTCATTCAGCTCAAACCCAACTCTAGGGTATGTGTGGTAAACTTACACGGGCCCGTAAAAATTTTTTTCCAGTAAATTGCTAACTCAGGAACCAGGGAAAGCTAGAAAGCTGAAATTTTAAGGGGGTTTCTTCTGACAGTTCTGGCTGCTAGTCTTAATTTGTTTGGCTAGAAGCATTTGCCGAAAAAGCCGGTGCCGGTGGCATCAAAAACTGCAGGGAACTATGCAAAAAGCGTATCTTCGCACGCGCAGCCCGAGCGTTGGCCAATCATTTCCATTTGGAATACCTGTGAATGAGTTATAATTTGGAGTAAGCTACATACTTAGGCTGACGATTGCTGAAGAGGACGAAATCTATTGGGAGAGATGGCGCCCGCAGACCGGATTCATTATGCCGACGAGCTGGAGAGGCAAGCATATCAACATCATCCAGGAAGTCTTCAATGACGAAAAGGCCGCTTTCCTACAGCTTGCTGGTTCCTCTTTTACTTAATAATAAAGAGAGTGGCTTATGAGTGAGGGTCCAAAAGAAGTGCCTATCTTTCGAAAAAATATAACTTTTTTGCACATTTTTCCTGTTTATTTGCTAAGCCCACTCATGGAAAACTTCCGTTTATTTGCTCTTTACATTTGTTTGCTTGCTTGTATCGTCGAATTACCTCTTTATTTGCCTTCACCAATGTTCGATTAATTGTTTACCGGCTACTTATCCGTTAAAATGATTATCGTCTTATCAGTTTACATAGTTAGTGGGATCACCGATCAGCTCACTTATCACTTGTTCGCATTATTCACCCATCAACTCTTTTTTCTGAAATATTTTCGCATTCACATATTTGTTCATTTTTTATGCGTTTTTGCTTATATGCAAATTGCAAAAAAGCATGTTGGAAAGAGGTCGTGTGTGTATGTGCGTGTCTGTCTGTGTGTTCGCACTTTTTGTCACTCACTTTCAACTCGAGAACCAGAAAAGCTAGAAGGCTGA